ACTTGAAACAGCTTTCTGAATCTTAAGATTTCCACTGTTATTTTTAATACTAAAGTTCTTGAACCATTTTCTAGTGAAACACTACATTTTCGCGTAAGACTCACTTGACAAGCATCGAAAGGAAAACAAACATGTAGAAGTCATGTGTGAAAAACTCGTGATGTTGGTTTTATTTCACGAATACAAGTAAACATCTATCCACACCATTCATACAATTGAAAAATCTCTGCGATTTTCATTCTGTAATAAAATCAACGCTGAAAATATCTTAAAAGATCGGTAGAGACCGATCGTCGTCATCGTCACGGTTGTCGTCATGAGTACTAGCTCAGTACATGTGCTTATCGTCTCTATCGTCGAGATCGTCAACGTCATCGTCATCGACACCGGCAGCAGGCGTGGCTTAGATGCTCACCGATACGAGACTTAAATGAAAAAGCTTAGACTGCGACTGAAATCATAACTACATCATCGTCTAGATCTCGTTTTTGTTGCTAGCAATATTGTTCTATTACTACAATCCAGCTATCAGCTCCTAGTATTATATAATGGTTGATTGTCGACGAAGAGATCTCAGTTAAGATGTACGAGCTCCTGACGGCGTCCAAACAATATAATAGTGTGACTTCTGGTGACGATTCATTCTCAACAACTAGTTCGATGCTTGGTGATAAGCGTCGATTCTCAACTTCGCTCGACGGATTACGGTCATCTCGTCTTCGTTACAGTAACCGTTATTTACAGCTCAAACGAGAACAATTCAGAAAACGTAGTGAAGCGTCTTATAGAGGGTCGCCCATCTGTAGATGTAAGATTTTTTTTAGTTGTTTCAAAATTCTTTTCTTACTTTGTCCATGTTATAATCGGAAAAGCTCTGCCTCTACAATCAAATCGGTAATTTAACACAGTTTCACCTGAACTTCATTTTTGCTCAGATCTACATCTGGAAATTGAGGCCCTGATTAAGTCAATAACTTCTTGATCAATACTATCAATTTATCTCCTATCATTGATGACTGTTTTCTCTATTGTTGGCCATTTAAGTTATGTCCTTTTCTTGGAAAATCTTTCCACTTTGAATATTCAATCTGATGTCAGGATATTTTCCTCAATACTCCCATTTTTCCTAGTGAATAGTGCTTTTTTTCGGGCATCTTCGTCTTTAATCAAAAAACTGGCATTTGTTCCCTCATTGCTAATTTCTGCAAAAAAAAAGGCTACAGATGACTGCCGATCTAATGCTTTGTCTAATTTCCGCCCGGATGTTATGAATAATAATTTACTCTTCTCAGTTTCGTTCTGCACTATTTGGCTCACAGAATGTCATGCTTTTAAGTCAATTAAATGACGGAGAGGTCCTGCAAAGTGATTGGCTTCGTTACTTTTTCAACTATTCACAGTAATTGACCTGTTATGAGTCACTTACGATCCACATCGCTTCAATAGCTGACAATCTGTGCACTGCAATTGGATTCAAAATGTAACCGACGTGATTAATAATCCGTCACTTGTCATATTATGGAGAAGTTTTTTTTTTCTGAATTATCACCTGCTATTCCATTAGTTAACAAGAAAATCGAGCCGACTCTAGTAGTCTCCATTCGTACCAATCGTACACCAGAGATGAAAATTAGATTCACTCTCTCGAGTGATACAAAGAATATCAAATACTTGCATGACTCCTTTCTATGCTACTATTTTCTAGAAGCTCGCTCAAAATTCAGTATAATCTGACGGCATAATTCAGGCCTTTCAGAGACCTGGTATGGCATTTTGAGTGCTTGACGTACGTTTCGGTTTTCATGTCAAGCCTCATCAGCAGCACATGTCCTCTCGATTAAACCAAACCCCTGCATATAAGGATATCGGCGCCGAACATGTCAACAGATTATATTGAATTTTAAGCGACAAAAAACAGTCGAGTAGAGAGATTTTGCCGTAATTGTTATATCAGCCATCGAACAATCAACTGTCACTGCAATGCCAGGTGATCTTTTCACCTGACGTGCAGTGCAACATGTTCGGCGCCGATATCGTTATATGTAGGAGCTCTGTTGAATCGAAGAGCATGTGTTACTAATGAGGCTTGATATGACAGCCGAAATGTGCGTCTAGACTTGGAGTGCCACACCAGACTTCTCAAAAGTTTAATATATTCTATCAGATTATATTTGCAAAACCTTTTTCTGTACATTGAACGTTTTTAACGGTTTCCATAATGTAGGTATGGTTAGGTGGCACAGCTGTGTCGTACCTTGCCTTGCTTTTTAACGATCATCCATATGGAAATATAGAGCACCTTCCCCAGTTAGTTGATCACGTTAGCAACTTCCAGCTGTACATCGCAGCTCGAAGCCGAAACATCACATAACCAAGAATAAGGCTAATCCTTTAGAGGCAATATTTGAAATCCATATTTTGGTGGTCCTTACCTTTTGATAAAAGGCGTTCCTGATCGTAGCGAACTAATGGCTGATGATGCAATGATTTCAGAAGTTAGATATTGTTCACAACGACTCATCGTATGGTAAGTGTCGAAAACGTTACGAACGTAATGTGCAGAACTTGTGGTACTTACATGTTAGACGGCGAGAATTTTTAAAGCCCCGATCTCATTCGCTGTACAAGGAACGTTTTCGTAGGAGTGATACCATCACTCGCAGCTTAAAGTTCTGGCTACAACTTTACATTGCCTTTTTTTGAAAGATCCTTTATGACGCTGTAGCATCCAGAATAAGATTTTGTTTCTCTCTCGCTTTTCGCTCTCATTTTTACCAAGCGTATAAATCGCTGGAAGTACGGAAAACTTGTCAGCGTGTAAAGAACTTCTGTAGTTTTAGAGTCTGCGTTTTTATCTGCACTTTCTATCGATGCGGCAAAAAATCCCCAATCGCATAACAATATTCCAAACGCGGTCGATCGCCCCATCGTGCCCCTTCGCTTTGTTAGTTGGACTGTAAAAAAAGTCGCTGAAAAGGTTGATAGCTGAATGTGATGGAAAGCCAAAGCGACGACTTGTTAGTAAAATATTCACCTGATCTACCGCGTATCTCGATAGTTGTCTAGCTCACTATGCGTCAAAACGGCGGCAGTTATTGTTATTTTATCGAAGAGTTTTCCACCACATTGAAAGAAATCTTAATAAAACAAATTATTCTGGCACTACGGAAAACTCTCTACACGCTGATATGCTTTTCGTGCTTCCAGCGATTTATACTCGTGATAAAATGATCGCGAAGGAAGAGTGAGAAACAAAATTTTTTTTGGATGCTATAGTGCTATAAAAGGGTGCTTTGAAAGACCGGCGGCGTGAAGTTTTTTGCCAGAGATTTGAGCTTTCGAATAATTACTAACATTCCAATAAAAAGTTCTTGTCCAGTGAATGAGATTGGCTAAAAATTTGTCTCCGCTTAACATGCAAGTATCGAACTTTTCAACGTAAATAATCCAAATGGCATCTTTGTTTTTCTCTTTAATATAAAACATGAGTATAACAAGTACAGAAAAATTGAGAGTATTACCGATGAAATGGAGTTGGTGAAAAGATTTTTTTTTCTGAAATTTCGTCTCGAGGTAATTTTACCCTTTCAACTTAATGTTGAATGTGAAGCCTTATGCACAGTTGATAATTGACAATTTCGAGCGATCAATTGGTTCAACGTTTTGCAGAAGTGCTGGGATTACTGGCTCAGATTTACGGTGAATCCTTTTGAAGGCTCTATGATGATTATTTGAGCTGTAAGTCCCTACAGTAGTAATTTCCATAGCCGCTGCATAGCTCAATGCAATCAGTTTCAGTAAGGATTGTTGATGTTTTCAATTGAAAAAGAGTAGTTAGAAACCAATTTCCTCCTCTGAATGAACAACAATGGTGCTAAGTACTGAAGGTTTTAGTCTTATCCAAATTCTGGTTTTTCCGTTGTTGAATACGTTTCTAAGAACTGAATAATGGAAAACGCTGATAATAATTCGGAAAATTCTCTGCGACTGAAGTGTCTTGACACAATGACAAACTTAATCACAGTATTATACAGAATTATGAGATTGGATCACAAGACACTCTAGTAGTGACTGATGCACATCTGACCTATATGATTACTTCCGTTGGCCTATCGACGTATCAATTAGAATCCTTGATTTCTTCGACAAATAAGATCAAGTTGATCTCCTGTAAGAATGAAGAATGATGAATCCGTAGCGGCAGGATCAAAACAGCGACCACTGTGTATTACAGGGCCTTTCTAATCACTACGCTGCACGTGTGGCTAAATTATATACTGTTAAAAATGATGTATTACGTTTGCCTTTCTGGTGATCGTTTTTATAGATTAGTATTTACGTTTTTCACACTACTTATAGTTCCTGTGGATTACTGTTGTTTTAGCACTTTAATCTACTTGCTGTATTGTAGTTTTTTTTTTCAAACTACATTAAAACAACTACAAAAAGCTACATCCATGAATATCTCCATTTACGGTGAATTAGCTTGACTTGAAAGTCGAGACTTTTTCTATTGCGTTTCTTACTTTATCTCTGGCTTATGTTATAAGGCTACGTCTCAGGGATAGACATAGATGTAATTCATCAATTATTACGAACAATGACATCTGTCAGGAAGAAAAATGATGCAACTGACCATAATCGCCATACTTTCTAGTAAAAAAAATAGCTCAGAAAGTATAGTTAGTAGAAAACAAACCAAAGGTACACATGTAGCGCAGGGTTATGAGATCTTATTCCACGCACATGTAGTCCTTGATTAAACGTGTCACTTGCTAATCAGTCCTTCAACACCTTAGAGAATCAAGTGGTAAGTAATAACGCGACCTCAGCCTGGAGTCGGACCCGCGTTTGATCCATGCAGGGGACGTGTGCTACCATTACACCACTGAGGTACATTGGCTCCATCACTCATTCTTCAGTATCACCCCGATAGCTGTAAGCCACCAGCCTTTAACAGGTTTGGTCGGGTATGCGATTTCGCCTCATAAATCCAGTTGACCTAACTCGGTGGTGTAGTGGCAGCACGCGTCCATGGTATGGATGAAGCACGGGTTCGACTCTCGCCTGTGGTCGTATTTTTGCTCACCACTCAATTCTCTAAGGTAAATATGAAGCATCATAACACTGCAAAAAAAGGCAGTGAAACTACTAGAAATTTCGAATATAATAGATCCTCAGTCTCATAAATGTTGTTAAATTATTACTGAAGCTGTCTGGGAAGGTAAAAGAACTGAGTTGATCTTCGGTAGTACCCGCAAGTTTGTATGGTAAATATTCTCAATGGATTCTGATGTCTGGCGTACGCCCTCAAGTAACGACAAATACCAAGCACTTTGTCGTTAATTACTTATCGACGTCATTTTACCATCAACAGTGATATTTTCTTAGAACAATGATTAAAGAACTATCAGGCTACTGAAGCATGGATAATGCTACAAATGATAGCAATGATTTTCTTCATTGTCACCTGAAACACACTTAACAAGCAAGCGAGTAACTTCACATGACCGAATAAAAGCCGGGTAATAGGTTTGGTTTATGCCTCAGCAGGATCTGGCAAGCCCATTTCGACCACTTTTATGCTAAAAAAAACAATGAAAATGAAGCGCCTTGTGCAAAATAGTGCCCGTGTTTGTGTCTGCTGATTGAGTGAAATCCATTTGGTCGTGGTGAATCGGCAATAATGGATGAATTGGCACTGTGCTGTTGCCCGGCTGGATTATTACAAGTGCTTGTTCATTCTCATTAGAGGCTCTATTGAGTTCGGTATTTTAGCAATTTATTGTTAGCTTGTCATACACATCACTGAGGGCGATTTCCCATCCATTTACTCTCATCTAATATAACACCAAACATTTCGTCGGATATTACTTTTTACATCCCCATTGAATTGGGGAGTGAACCCAACCGTGTAGAAATCTCATAAAATCACAAATGCCACTTTAAAACTTTAGCCATTGAAAGATGTAGACGCTAGCATCCTCAGCTTATCAGGAAACCTGGAAATTTTCTGAAGCAAAATTTAAGCTCATCAAGTGGCTTCATAGAATCGATCGTCTGAATCATCTCAATCAAATACCGATTTATATCTTTCTTTAATTGCTATGATGATAGAACTATGTCATGGCTTTGTCGTCGATTATTAACCAATTATTGAAAAATTTGATTATGACCATGCTGCACTGATGATCGATCACGTTATGAATGTCGGATGGACTATCATTAATTTAACTTCACCATCAACGTCTTCACTAATGAGGGCATGTCGAGGACGTGAAGCGCAGTAGTTTGAGCGCTTGTAAGCTTATTAAAACTAAAAAATGACCAAGAGGTGAGATTAGCGAAAAGTACATTACTTTATTCTATCGAAACCGGAAGTGCTGAAGTGCATTTGCGTAGGCGTCTTCTCGTTTGAAATCTTCGGACATTGACCAGAGAATTTCAACGATATTGCTAAATCACACTGCATTTTACTCTGCAAGATGAGTCACTTTTTGAAAGGCCTGAGTAATTTTCCATGAAACCACGATGGAATGGCATGCAAGATCGGTCTCTGTGGAGGATATGTAAGGCGAATGAAATGCTCGCGTGATGAGATAGGACACACTTGTGACGATTCTGACCAACGAATAATGAAACATGTTTATTACATCACATGCGGAAATATGATGATACGCCTGTGTGAATATGAAGTGATCCATGAAATTCGCTCCTGCTCATCAGTGTTAGCTATGATTTATTCACGCCTGATTCCTTCTCCGACACATCCTTCGAATAATATCATTGGGATCATGTAGCATCAGGGATAATGGACAAAGTGATCTGGGTTGACCACCTCCTCAAGAATTCCCCATGCATTCAGCCCCATTCGTGGCACCGTATGTCGTTGATTGAACTCAAGCTTCTCCTTTACAATTTTATCCAACGGTATTGACGGAGGCCTTTGAGGCGTTCACTTATTTTCTTTTGTGACGGAAAACCAATTTAGTGTTTTGGATGATGCCCGAAAAAATGTGTTCCGATAAAGTGCAGGCATGAGTTTTCTTTTCGTAAATGCTCTTCATTAATTATTTTTTTCTACTCTGGTTTCTCCAAGAGTGTCAGCTTCAATAAAGCAACCTTTCTGTATGAACTATGGATGAGGTTTTTCTTCTGATTAATTGAAGACTTCTGAGAGAAAAGTGTAATCGAGTAGGTCATTTGGAAAGTGCACTATCTATCAAGTCTTTCATTAGGTCACTCTTCTCTTAAAGCAGCTTCGGTCGGCATACTCCGTTCTCGTAGCAATCACTTAGTCTGCTTTGGCATTATTAGATGATTGAAAATGAAATTTTTCATACTAGCTGAAAAAGAGGCATGAATGAGAATGCTATCCAACCTTAAAGTCGAAAAATGGTAATGTTTTTGCTGAATTCCGCCGTCGTACTAGAAAACGGGATTATGATAAATCGAAACTCGCTTCACTTAACTCCAAATTTTCCATAAACCTTGCATCAATAATCAAAGCTATGCTATGAGATATCTCTTCTCAAAGCTTGAGCGAAGTTTATATGTCTTCTTCAAAAGGATAATTGGCCTTTTGCAATTTTGCCTCCCTCATAACCTAGAAGTCCTATGTCACAAAATCTGGAAGAATAAAGGATCAAGCTTTTGGCTTTGATCAATCGCCGAGAGATGCGCTATGCATTCGTCCTCAGTAAGCATCACTTGAGGTATTCGAATGCATATGTGGCTCTTGGAATGACTCGCGATATTTTACCGATTTATCATATCAGTGTTGCTATCCTAACAGACAAGCTAGTACCAACTCATCTGCTCCAAAGGGATAGAAGGCTCGGTGAGCTTTGAACGCGGTGTCAATGTTTCTCTGTGCAATGGAAATCTGCTTAGAAATCATTCCAAATGACTAAATGTTGAATAGAACTTTTTTCAAGCCCTTATTTTGGAAAGATCTCTGCTGCGTTGTCACACACCGTGAATAATGAACCATACTCAGATTATAATATGAAATTGAGATAAGGTGGCATATGATTTGTGATATTCACATACTGTTCCCTTCTATCAACTTTCGAAATTGTAAAATTTGCCCACCAAATCTCAAGAGTTATCCAAGCCGACGCTTTTTCCTCAAGATACCATCTCAAAGTCGTCACCGTTATACTTTTGCGTCCTTCTAATGTTTTCAAATGAATATATACTGAGTCTCAATTTTCCATAGAGGTGCTACTATTTACGGGCACAAAGCGGTTTACCCGTTTCGCCGGTGTGTTCATCCTCCATGCCTTGCAGGAGAATAAGTGTAATGTACCTGAACTCATGCAGTCATCGTCTCTATCATTAGCGCAATTTAGTCAATGACTCTGTGGACGCTCATACATGCAGTTCCGATTTGGTGAATATTGTGTTAAGTGGAACTCCCACAATTCATGGGGAGTTCTTCGAACATTGTTTTTTGGATTCTGGATAGCGGCCCTTCTTCTTTTATGAAAGGCAGTTTTCAAAGTATCTTCTCATCTAAATTTGGCATACCGGCGCTTTGGATATGTAGTCTGTCTCCTCTTTTTGACCTAACCGCTGTGGCTGTACTTTCGCAGCCATTTGAAATATCTTTTCAATGTTCAAGTGTAGTAACTCCTCTATCTCTTCTTTTACCATGGAAGCGCGTATAGCTAGCTATTCGATACATATTTCAAAGAAGTGCCCCTATCGTGGCTTTAGGATGAAGGGGTGGTAGTGCACTAGTGTCTTTATTGCTTAGCTTTCGATATCATTTCGTGAATAGCCACTTTCGGAGCAGTTCACTTGGACGTTCAGAAGTGAAAGCCAGTTGCATGAGACTGATTTACAAACCCTCTTTTTAAACATTCAGTACTGCCAGAGAGAATGCTTCAAGCCATTTCAAAGTCCACACCTTAGTGGCTCACGTATGTTCTAGCGGTTTCGCGTGTCTCATCAAAGCCACACGCTGCGCACGCATGTCCCTTTGTCATAGTAAGGATGAAGAAACGTTGTTTTTTCATTTTATTCCAGTTCATGGTATGGTGAAAATCACGATTTCGTGTTTTCCCGTAACAACGTTTCCCCGTTCCTGCTATCAATAGAGAACCTGCGTGCGGTGCTTGTGGCTCTGGTGAGGCAGGAAAGACTGCCGAAACATACGTAAGCCACAAGTGCCAAACTGGAAATGGCTGCTCTAACTAACAATGATGGACCCAGTTTCATTTAGATTACTCTTGTGTAACTTAGTATAGCCTGACTGTCTGACTAAGATTCAAAGGTTCAGAAGATTTGTCCATCTCCTTTCTTGAAGAGCAGATCAGAAGGCATTAATCCATGTGTCGATAACAGAGTAAGAGAAAACGACTTTGAACTGGGATTTCAACGTTAGGCGCAATATCTAATGCCACTCTTTGCCCTAATGTCAGCCCTCACCTATGTGTACATTATCTTACAAACCACTCAAAGATTGAAGCATCCACACTCTCTCAAATGAAGAGTAGTTGACGCGACAAGCCATATACCTGTTTCTTCATTCAATATACGAACATTAGAAATGACTTTCATTACGGCGCTCTTCGAGACATCCGTATGAAACGCGGTAACGTCAAATAGCTCTTCTACATGCACGCGCTTTGACCGCACGCGATGTAAGTGAATTAGGAAAATTTTGATGTTAGGGTGGCAGGTGGTGATAAACAGGGTGTTAGGGTGGTGATAAACGTAACAACTACGGAGAATATGGAGCTCGGAAACCATGTTATCCAATTTGCTGGCCAGCCTATGCAACTAATGATTGGTAAACTTTGAATGCTGAAGGATCGGTAGAACAAAACCATCAGTTGGTGTTTCCGCTTTAATGAGTATGTTTGGACGGGACAATTTGGCAAATCCATTTTGTCGATAAATAAGTAATTGTTCTGTAACGGCTGCTTTTACATTTATCCATTTTCCTACTGGTTTTTGGTCTTTGATCTTTGTCTCTCTCAGACGATAGTCGACAAAGAGAATTTTCTGAAGACGTTTTTTTCGCTATTTTAACGTCTAATTCAGTGACAGTCGATGCATTTTCTCC